GAACGTGCGAATCGGAACGATTATTTGGAGTCGTGGCCGCCAGAAACAATCGATTTTCCCACGAATTATCAAACGAACAAAACAATTAGTACCCGTGGCGATTCGAAGATCAACAATGGCACAATTAAACATTGAGAAACGAGAATTGAGGCGAGGTGGCAGGGAAAAGGTCTGCCTAGGGTCTGACTACCGAATTAACAGGTTGATTAACGGGCTTGCTCGATACTTTGCTCAACGACGAAAGTTCCCTTTAGCTTGCTTTGGATTACAAATAAAAATGAAATTGTCCACAAAATTATTCGTAGACCTGGCGTCATTTTTTAATTTTTTTTATATATTTATATATATTTTTATTTATATTTTTACATATTTATATATACTTTTATATATTTTTATATATTTATATATATTTTTATTTATTATTTTTTTATATATTTTATATTTTATATTTTATATATTTTTATATTTTTATATTTTATATTTTATATTTTTATATTTTATATTTTATATTTTATATTTTTATATTTTTATATTTTATATTTTATATTTTATATATTTTTATATTGTGGTGCAATTTTTATAGAAGTGTTGCCAAGTAATTTTCCTCTTTTTCAAACAATGTGCACTTTATTCACCTAGTAAAGTTCGAGAACAAATTTATTTTGCAAATTTTACGTACGATATCGCAACGACGATGACACCAATCATTTTCGAGTAATTCACGAGACGCCCAGAAGAGTATCCCTGAATAACGAATCTGAAGTTTTTCTTTTTTCTTTCTTTTCGTCAAAGGGCGATCAACGTTTGATCATATTTATTTATACAGGGGGAAAAGGTTTCATTCATTCATACATAGAGACAAAAGTTGAAGTTAAAGCAGATTAACTCGGTTAAATCATTTCCTCTGCGAGATAGATTCACGTCAAACGCGTGCAAACAAACGAGTCCCGAGTCCCGCAGTGAATCACTGAACGCACCCAACCGCACCTGAATCGAAATCATCGATTGAAATAATGGCGCCACGCGTGCCCCTTATTACATCGAACCTGTCTGGCATTCCAGTCGAAGGTATCGGACTTGTCAGGAACTTGTCCCGCGAAGACGAGCATCGGGTCGGCCAAGTTGGCAGATCTAAATGTCACGAGATTCACACAGGCGTTACATGCTGAAGGGATTATATCACTGACTCGTCCAATCATGCTACCGCATTGCAGAAAGATAAACAGAGATGGAGGCGCGGAAAGGAGAAAAAAAAGGGGGGAAAAGAGAAGAAAGAAAAAAAATTGGAAGCGAAATGAGAGAGTGAGAGAGTGAGAGTGGAAGAAGCGAGCGTGTACGTACATTGTGTGTAAGAGTTTTCGATTAACGAACTCAACGATTGGAATCTGAATGGCAGATAAATTACGCGAACGTGGACGTGGACGAGAGGGATTATGAAAGATGTCGATGACGCGAGCGGTAACGATCCTAGGATTCCTGTCTCGTCCTCCTCGCGTTCAATTATTTCTCGATAAATAGACAGCGAGTTCACTGGCTCGCGATAATGTTCAAGAATATTTAACATGGAAGAACGAAAGGCGAAAAAAAAGGGGAAACGAATTTTCACATTTCGTTTGACAAACGGAACGCGAGAATTTTTTAGAATGAAGAAGCACCCAAAGAAGAAGTTTGAGAATAATTAATTGAACTATGAAACAATATTTTATCTATGAAAAATACTGAAAGATTTAAAACTAAATCCAAACTAAAACTTTAATTAACTAAAACTAGAATTAAATAAAATTAACTTTTAATATTAAATAAAATTTAATTAATTTAATTTGATTTTATTTAATATTAAATTAAATAAAGTTAAATTTTATTTAATATTAAAGTAAATAAAATTAAATTTTATTTAATATTAAATTAGATTAAATTAGATTTTATTTAATATTAAATTAGATTAAATTAGATTTTATTTAATATTAAAGTAAATAAAATTAAATTTTATTTAATATTAAATTAGATTAAATTAGATTTTATTTAATATTAAATTAGATTAAATTAGATTTTATTTAATATTAAATTAAATAAAGTTAAATTTTATTTAATATCAAAGTAAATAAAGTTAAATTTTATTTAATATTAAATTTTAATAAAATTAAAATTTAAAACTACAGAATAAACTTTATAAACAAAATAATCTGCAGTCAGACGGTATCTGCCGATTCGATAACGAAATTGAGCGAAGCGCTCGGAAAGTGGAACGTGTGATCTCGCTTATTTCTGACATGGTGTACATGATTGAAGACACTGATGGTTTACGCAGGACGTTTACAGAGACGGAGTGTATCTACTAATTGATGTATCATCTATTTCAGCGTTTGTCTGCGTGTGGTGTTTGAACATTGGATAAAACGAAATGATTGATTTCAACTCTTGAACGTTAATCTTGATCTTAATCGTTTAAAAATGAATGTGTGGGTCGATTCAGTACTCACGTCGGATGGAAGATTTCCAGCGAGTTTCACTAATAAAACAAATGATTACGAAAAACGAATAGAGTATAAAGACGATAGGGAATCGATATTTTTGCCTGATGTTCTGAAGCCTCTTCTTCGATAATTCGTTGACCTTTTAGTCGGACATTTCTGATTATGTCACGTGACTGGGGTTTCCGTCAATTTCACCGTAGGCAATGTCATTAATAACTGCGCGCAGCTTTCTAGAGATGAAAGAACGATCATCGCGTTTAGAAGCGAGAGCCTGGGAAAAATATCTATCGTTTTCGTCTGCGTGTTTTCGCGCATTATGCTAATATACTCTCGTCAGTATTGAAAGTCTTAATAACTGCCGATATTTTCTTTTCATTATACTCACTCTTTTAATCATAAAATTTAATGTGATACTATCTGTCAATTATTGATTTATTTTTAACTTATATTCTTGATTTATCGATTTATTTTTAACTTATATTTCCGTATTTTGAATATAAAACGTATAGATTGGAAAGTAATAAATATTTCAATTTGGTAAAAAATTATCAACTGATATGTAGGTTGAAGAGAAATTATTTTCAGTTACGTCATTAGTGTATTTCGTGTTGCAAATGAGTATTTGTTTGTTACATCTGAAATAACAAGGCAGATCAATGACATACTTAAAAAAAAGGAGCGAGACAAATTTTTAAACGTCCACGTCAAAGTAGATGTATCGTATATAGTAGTATAATTGGATATATACATATATATTGTGTGGGAAGGGAAAGGAAGAAGAAATGGAAAGCGTGTGGTCCCACATGGCAGAATTCCATCGTAGAAACCAAAATTCGATGAATCGTCCTCTCAACGTAAATAGCATTATAATAGAAAGTCTAGAGTTTCCTACTTTTTCTTTTGGAAAAAGATTTATTGGTCGCAGATTTCTATCTTCAAAAGTTATACCTTTCTTCTTGTTAAAAAAAAAAAAAAAAAAAACAAATTACAAAACTTCCCCAATCTCTTAATTATGTACGTGTATTGTGTAATATTGGCTACGGTATGCTTGCGTCATTGTAACTTTTTTAAATATATGTACATTCACTTTTTGCATTCGTCATCTATCTACGTCCAAATGTTCGAAAAAAATTGCCCGAACGATCTTTCTCAATTTTAATAACATAATGTACCTAAATCTACTGCAATTTTGCTTAATCATTTCCAATGGAGTCCCCTTAATTTCACCTTACATCACAATCATTCTACAACGTACTTGTACGTGGTACATGCACACTAGCTTTTTTTTTTTAAATTCTTAGTATATTTATAAATGAAAAGGAAATTATACTCAAATAAAATTGTATTCTTAACTTAAATTCTTAACTAAAATTATACTTTATTACATCTGGATGATTTCCTAGCAAAATTTTAATGATTTCCATGTTTAACAAATTGACAAGCAAAGCTTGGATGCGTTGCGATGTAGATTTTACATCACTAGTAATCATTATGCGATTGGTAGAAATTTCATTTATAAATACAAGGACTAATATTATAAATTTCACTGTCGTGAAATTTTCGAATTTCTAAAATATATAAATTTCAAACATTTCTGAAATACATGAACGTGTAAAGTCACGGGACATTGCGATCGTGAATTAACTATCCAAAGATTTCCGTTCCCGGATCGAGCTCGACGCACACTAGAAAATGGATCGCAGCTATGCAAAAGACCTCGATCACGAATATTAGATTCGCGTGAGATCCGGGGACGTTTCTGATTGGATGGCCCGCGTACACACCGGATGACCTCGGCCTACAATTGGCCACTCGATCACTCGATCGATTCTCTCCGCCGCGACATTCTGTTTTATTTAATAATCATTTCTTCGAGTCTGAGGGCAAAGGATCGAAATCAATCTAACGAGTGATACTGAAATCCATTTCTTCGCCACTCTTCGCTTTGACACGCAGGCGATACTGTTTTCTTACCGATTACTTTGCAAAACGAATAAAAGGAAATTAGATAATCTTTCGTATTTCCATTCTTAGAAATTCACGCTCGAAAATTTAAGATTTTCGTGGATTCCTGACTCAGATATTTGGAAGTTTCTGCTACTTGAAGTTCCATTTCCACGTTTAATATTTCAGTGCTGGTTAGGCTCAGTGCTTAGCTGGAAACAGACGGAATTTTTTCAAAGAAACTCGTACAGAATATTGGAAAGCAACGACCTAGACGCGCGTGTCGATAGTTGCTCGTAATTATAACTGTAACTGGTGTAACAGGTAGAAGAATTACGCAAGCTCGTATAAGATTAATCTAAATAAATTATCCTCGCGCCGTTTCTCCTTGATAAAAATTGAAACTTATTTTCACTCTCGCCTGTGACACTTTTTTTTACTCTTTACTCTTTACAACACTTCTCCTGTCTTTCCTTTTCCGTAGATTAAACGCCCCGAGACAGATTCGTATTTTTCATTAGCATGTTACTGAAGGGACAGATGCCAAGTACGTTCTCTGTAATTGGTTCGTTTCTGTTGCAGTTTTATTGTCGATCCTCAACCTCCAGCATGGCTCCTTGTTATGCAGCGCGGGGGAACCTGGCGTGAGTATTCAATTCGTTTTAATAATACAATTGAAAACATAATATTGCACAGAAGTAGTGAAGTAGTTTCAGAAAAGGAGGTACGAATGAAATTTCCTTTTCCTTTACTTCGAATTTTGTTGCGCATTTGTATAACGCGTGGATCATATATACATATTGTTACAGTATTATTAAAATAATTACGCGGTTTCTTACTATTTTTTTTTTTTTTTTGGAAGTATTTGGACTTCGACAACCTGCCAGAGACGAATTTCTCGTGTCAGGGAAAGGTGATCGGCGGATATTACGCGGACGTTGAAGCCGGATGTCAAATGTTCCACGTGTGCACCATCGGTCAAAAAGGTAATTCAGTAATATCTCTGTTGCGATCTTACCACACTCAAGGCGAAAGACATAATTCTCTCGTAAAAAGAATTCTCAAACTAAATTAAATAATATCAATGATGCAAGGAATATCTTAAGTTAGATTTCTAAATTTGATTTTCTCGATTTGCAAAAGAAAGAAAGATGTCCCCTAAAGACTCAACTAATTAATCCGAATTGCTTTCTCGCCTCACCAATCTCACCAAACGTGTCCCGATCGACGCTAAATCTTCGGAAGCGAAACGACCGATTCATTTAAAACAGACTCCCCAAGGCAATCGATCGACTTCATCGTTCATTTGCTGTGACAATTAGAAGCCGATAATTACATGTTAACGTCAAACAGAAACGAGCACTCAGACTTAGCGAGCGCTAAACAAATCGATCGATCGATCGATCGTTGGATCGGAGAGAGGCCCGCCCCGAGGGCCTAGCGCTTGATCCAAGTTTTGTAATCGATCGAGAGATCACTAGGAAGAGAATGTCACGGTCGTCGAGGAACGTTTACTGACCTAAGTCGGGAACGTCTGGCTTCGACTCGTCACGAGGAGTCGAATCGAATCGAATCGAATCGAATCGTCTAACCTTTGGCTGAGTATCTTCGGTAAACGTCACGTCTCCTATCTTCCATCTCTCTTTATTATCATTGTCTCATCTTTTCAACCTCTTATGAATGATATTTGGAAATTTTTTCATTCCACATTGATCTTTGTTGATACGAGATGAGATATTTTTATATATTGTTATATATTTTTATTTATTTTTATTTATTTTTATTTATCTATATATATTTTTATTTATTTTTATTTATCTATTTATATTTTTATTTATTTTTTAATATTTTTATATATTTATATATATTTTTATTTATTTTTATTTATCTACATATATTTTTATTTATTTTTTAATATTTTTATGTATTTATATATATTTACATCTATTTTTATTTATTTTTATTTATATATATTTTTATTTATTTTTTAATATTATTATATATTTATATATATTTATATATATTTTTATTTATTTTTATTTATCTATATATATTTTGAATTATCTTTTTATATATTTTTATATATTGCGGTGCAATTTTTATAGAAGCGTTGCCAAGTAATTTTCCTCCTTTTTCAAACGATGTACACTTTATTCACCTAATACGTCCGAGAATAAATTTATTTTGCAAATTTTACGTACAATAACGTAACGACGATGACACTAATCATTTTCGAGTAATTCACGAGACGTGGAAACGTCCCGAAAACCGTGACCCAGAAGAGTATCCCCGAATAACGAATCTGTCCTTCACAACGAGACTTGGTTTCAGACGAGATCATGGACATAAAGTTCCTCTGTTTGAACGGGACGGTCTTCGATCAGGAAACCAGGGTTTGCGAGAGGGTGGACGAGGTCGACTGCAGCAAGAGCGAACGATTCTACAACCTGAACTTGGAACTCTATGGGAACAACGCCGTCACACTCAGGTGCAGTAATAAATTCAGTCAATCGACTTAATCGATCAAACCTGACTTGGTGATAAACTAATTGAAATATAATTTAATTTACTGAAACTCGCGGCTTGGCAATTAATCACTTGGTGTCTGAGAAGCTAGATATTAATCCAGTAGATTCCTCGTAGTATTAAAATTAACTATCGTCTACTTTCCAAAGAAAAGAGAGAGAGAGAGAAATGTAATTTCCACCTTCCTGTTTCAATTAAAAAGATTGAAAGTTTCCTCATTAAATAACACGTATGTATGTGCCACTATCAGATCCATTATATCGAAAACAAGTTCAGCATGCAACGCGTTCCCCGCCTCTCTACAGATTTCTATATCCGTGATTCGCGAGACAGGACACGTTCACGAACTGGAATTCAGTCGCTGAAAATAATTATTGTCGCCACTTGGTTCACCTGTCGCGTACGAAATGTTTCGCTTGCCACTACCTGGACGTTCACCTATATCAGATATATACGATTTCGTAAGGACCAAAGGTCCGCATTAGTTCACATAGCACCCGACAGGTTTTACTTACGTAGATCGCGTGATACAGGATCGCGGGGCGTGGTGATTGCGTGTATCAACGATTTTTCGATCAATCGCCCCTCACTTGCTGCCATTTCCCATGTCGTGTGCTATCTCTTGAACAATTTCCTTTCTTAATCTAAAATCACGAAGAACAAAAACTTCCTACATTTAAAATAAGTTTTTACAATCTTCGAACGCTATTTCTGTTTGCAGTTTGCACGAGAACAGCGAGGAGGACGTCGACCAATCGGACTCCATCGACGACCATCAACGAACCACGTCGGCACGACCCACGACAACAACCACAACCTCGACAACCACCTCGAAACCAAGCAAACCCTCCACCACGCCATCCTCCGGTTCCTTCACCCACCCGGCTGGCTATCCGCAACACTTCCAGCCTCAGCCACCGTTCCCTCACGTTCACACGAGTCAATCCAAGTCCCTCTACGACGATAAAAACGGCGGCTACCATCACCAGTACATTTTCCACAACGGCGAGAGGACGAACAATCAACAGGCGACCTCTTATCAGTTGTTCAGCAATCAGGGTGTCAGTTCCACGACCGTTCAGCCACCTCAGGTGCACCATCAGATCCGATTTAGCTCGACCTCGACGCCGCAGATCATTCACAACGAACCTTCGACGGCGGCGCCGCTGTTCCACGCGACGTCCTCCACCATCCAGACGTTGTTGAACAGCGCCGGGAACAGCCCGGCGTTGATAAATCCGATTTTTCACAATCACGGAATCGCCAGCACCACGGAGCAGTTCATTCATAGTAACAATCCTAGAGAGACCTCGGATTACAGAGAGAACGGGGAGCAGAGTATTAGGTCTCTGGAGACCAACAAGGGAAAGGTGAATTGGTGTTTCTTTCTTTTCTCCTGTTTTTCCTTTAAAAATGATTCTACAATCTCGCAGTATTGCAAGTTTGATCTCTTCTCTGGTTTCAAAATCTCTGGTATTCTAAATAATCTAATCTGTTCTTTCCAGGTCTCGAAATTAACGATATCCACGGTGCCAGCGCACTCAGAGTCATCGCACTCGGTGCAAACGAAAACGAGCAGCCAGAGCTCGCAGTCGAGGATCTCGGGCAACTTCCTCCCTACTCCAACTCCCGACGAAACCACGGTGAGATCCTTCTATCCAACACCGAGAACCTCCTCGAAACCGCCGCAGGCCTCTCAGTCCACCAGCGAGCAGGTCGCTCAAACGCACATACACGTGTTACCCCCTGTGCAGATCCCTCAGCTGAAGCCCCACCAGATCACCATCAATCTACCACCACCGGATCTTCAAAGGATAGTCCAGAATCCATCGTCTCTTCTGCCATCTCAGTCCAGGGTCATCGTGACAGCCAAAGCGAGCGTCAGCGACGAGTCTGGCAGACCGTTGAACACGACCCAGCTAGTCACTCTCCCTCTACCAACGATTCCAGCCAGTTACGACGACTACAAAGAGGGAGACGAGTCCTTCGATCCATTCTACAGAGACGTTCCCAAGATCAGGAACAGCAGAAGGCTGTCCGACGGAGGAGCCGAAGAGTCCAGGAGAGTTTTGAGATTTAGAAGATCCGTTGGTCAGGCTGGAAGTTTCGTAGTTCCATTTCTCTACGGTGGAGAGTCTCTTGGTACTTCTGACAGAAAGAGGGAAACCGATGGATTTGGAACACCGCCCTCGAGGTTTAGAAGGTCTGTCGGCCAGACCAAGAGTTCCATGGTCTCTTTCGTCTACGCTGGAGACTCGAAGGGGAAACGCGACGAACAGGCAACAGCCGAGAGCCGGAGTCAGAGTTTTCCCTCGATCAGAGACAGTCTGATGAGGTTCAGGGATATTCTCTTCGGTGGAGACTTCACGGAGGATGCTATAAGAAGCGTGTTCGAGGGAAGCAGGCTTCAGGGGATTGGCTCTGACGCCGAGAGGAACAGTCTGAGAAGAGATTCGCTGGAAGACCTGGAGACGAAGGCCTCGAAGAATTTCAAGGCGAGGGACTACGAAGAGGACGGCGTCGAGGAGAGTAGAACCAAGCAGTCGAGAGGTTTTGAAATTCCCTTGAGAACAGATACCAAGGAGTCTGATGCTGAGGAATACATCGACACCGATGGGACGAAGAACGTAGAGTCAGACTCGAAGGATCTTAAGGACGAGAAAGAACGTCCCTCCGACGCGAGAGACAAATCTAACGATGAACACGAGTCGGATTCTAAACGCGAGAAGCCAGAAGGAGCGTTGGATGTTGTTATTGTCGATTCAAACGAGCATACGAAGTTGACGTCCAAAAGCGATGGAGGAGTTTCAAGTTCGACTGAGAAGAGACAAGTTTCTACGGAGATTCCAACTATTTCCACGACCGAAGAGATCATTGGAGTAGACTCCATGGATAAACAGGACTCTGAGAGCTCGAAACACGTCGATGATGCTGTGAAAGATAGAGGACAATCTGAATCGAAGAACGATAACGGTGAAAAGAGTCGGGAAGAGGAAAGAAGAAAGACCAAGGAACGGAAGCCAGCTGCGAGAAGAAAAAGTTCCAGGGTCAGAAATTCCCGAGGAAAGATCTCTTCGAGGAGAAAGGAGATTAAAGTTGAAAGCAACGAACCGATCTTGGGCCAGAAAGTAGAAACAGCAGCGGTAACGGCGAATTCCGACTCCGGGCAGATTGACAAGCGCATATTCGACGAACCAGAGTCGCAAACCTCGAAGGAGATCGATATCAGAGCTGTGAACGCTCGCGACAGCTACGCGAAGAACATTCAGACTGGTAAGGACCACGATTCAGGGAAAGAGAATCGAAAGGGCGAGGCCAACGAATACGAGACACTGCAGAAACAATCTGGATCTCTGGGAAAGGACGAAGAGAAATCGTTGAGACTCGGGGGAATCGCGGAGGATGAAAAGGAAACGAGTGTTCCAAGCTTGGATGAAGAGAAAGTCGCTGAAGTTCCCAAGAAGAATCTTTCTGAAGAAGAGAAGACATATCACAGAGAAGAATCCGAGGTGGAGCGCGATACTGTGGAAGATGAATCAACAACAGGCTTCAGTAACGAAGATTCTCGGGAAGACAACGATGAAACGATCGAAAATTCTCGCAAAGAAGAGAGTGCAAAGGCTGAGGATTCATCGAAGGAAGTGTCCTCTCGCGAACAGGACAGACCCAAGGAAACCGAAAACGGGGAAGAGGAATACTCCACGGCGAAGAGTGAAGAGACAAGTTCTGAGGAAGTTTCCATGGAATACCGCGAGTCTACCGAAGCATCCTACGAAAGTACGTACGAAATGGGCGCAGACAGCGACTACAGAGATTCTGGTAGCTCCGAAGACGCCACTGTTTCCTCGGAACACCTAACGTCTGAGGAAACTCCAAGCTCCGAAGAAAGGAATCTCGAGGAACACGACGAGGACGAGGGTTCAGTTTTGAGCGACCAAGAGGAAAGCACCGAAGGGATTCTCAAATTCACCGACGAGTTGCCGAAAGATAAGAAGGAGGACGTATTAGACGAGGTCAGAGGATCTTCAGAATCCATCGAGAATATAGCCCACGATTATGTGGATGACAATTACGAGCCTGACAACTACAAAGAACGCGATCCTTCGAACTCTAACAATCTGAGTGAGGAGAAACCTAACAAAGAGATGTTAGCTGACGGTAAGACAGAGGATACCAAGAAAGAAACTAAAGAAGACGAGCCGGAAACCAGCACGGAGTCTCAGAAGGATCAGACCGAGGGGACTGATAGCCCAACAGAAGAATCTGACACAGAGAAGACAGATTTAACAGAGGCGACTGAAGAAACTACGACAACAACTACTACAACGGTTCGTTCCACGCCTCCGAAACTGTTCAAACCAATCTTAGCTCGGAAGAATTACAATTACATTCCTCCAACGACGACTCCGAACCCTGTGATCATCAAACCCAGATTGAGTTTGTTAAATCCCAAGCCAGCCAAGCCACCCAAATCGTACAACGACCTAGCACCCAAACCAGTGATCAGGAAGTTCACGTTATTAGCTCGAAAATCAACTACTACCATGGCTATCACGACGATCACGGAGGAGGATTCGACGGAAACTGTGGAGGCAATGACTACAGAAGCATTGACGACTACCACTGAGGCCAGCAGAAGCGAAGAGAACACATTAGACAACAAACTGAAGCCTCTGAACGAGTCGGAGGCAAAGATCCAAGCTCCTGTGAATAGCAAAGACGACCAGGATCCCAGTCCAAGTGAACAAAAGTCTCCGTCGAACGTAAAACAGAACGAAGAAGAGGGTTTCACGCCTTATCCAGTTTCCAGACTATCAACCCTTGCCTCTGCTGTTGAGAAATCGGCGAAGGAAGCCGATTTTTCCAGCACAGAGCCTGCGAAACCAACGAGTCCTCAGAGTTTCACTTTGGTGGACCTAGAAATTGTCAGTACAACGTCTTTGCCGATGGGTCTGACGCCTGATCGTCCCGAAGAATCATCCTCCACTACTGTCAGATCCACCACAGAGGAAGAAACATCGATTGCTTCGTCTACCAAAATCATGGACCAGGTCTTGGAAGATAAAGTGACAGAGGATGCTGTGAGCATGCCAATTTCCGAGGCGACGTCCACTTCAGAAGCCACAACTAGACGAGTTGAAGAGGTGGAATCGACTACGGTGAGATCCTTGAGCCGAAATCTGGCGATGTTGAAGAGACAAGGCGGTTTCAATTGCCTGGAGAAGGAGATGTATCGTTTCTACGGTGACACCAGAGACTGTAGGTTGTTTCACTATTGCTCTCCTGGGTTCACTTCGAGGCAGGTGCTAGATTTTCGGTTCGTGTGCGAGGAGGGCACTGCGTTCGACGAGGAGAGCCAGAGCTGTCGCCACGATGCTAGGAATGAAGGTTGTCTGAAAAGGGAGTGGTAAAGAGTGGTGAATCGGGATTTTAAGGGGAATCTGTTCGTTCTGTCTTTGTGGCTGCTAGCAACATTGATTTTGGTAATTGTTGAATCTCCTCCCTTAGTGTATATTTATGTATATTGTTAATAAAGGGCGTATTCCCGAAAGTGGACAATACGCCTTTTCCCCCTCAACATTTGCCATAACCCCTGTACATGACGACAATGGATTCACACTTATTAAAATTAATATGCTCGAGATTGTTCGAATAAGCAGCTCGCAGGGAAGATGGATTTTAAGAGAATTTATTGTTGAAATGACAGTGCTGCATCTACTTTGCAGAATTTTTCATCAATTATAATTTTAATTTTATAAAATTAAAATAACGAAAGTGAGTGTGGGGATGTAGTCCTGACGCAGCCTTGAATGATCTATTGATTCGATATTGATTATCGCTTTGTTGATAAAGTAGATTATTTGATCAATGAAGCGGAACGGCAATTGAAAATCGATAAAACAGGTCAATTCAGTTAATCGATAAAGAAGTATTTCAGTTATTGAAAATCGATGAAGTAGAATTGCTTTGTCGATACTTGGATATTGCAGTGTTCTTTCATTTTTTAATAACTTCTTTTCCATAAAGATTTAAAAAAGATTTAAAATTTCTTAAAATTAGTACCCTTCCATATACATACTAACTTTGACAAATAATTTATTAATATATTTTAGGTAGAAAATTAAAATGTAAATTTTTTAAAACTGACTAATCTTTATTGCAATTATTTTTATATTCATTCGGTCATTAAAAAAATAATTTATCAACGAAGCAATCCTTGTAAAAAGATATAAAATTAAACTTAACAACACTCCAGTGTCCAAATATCGAAAGAATGTAAACAATCATAGTTTGCACTGTCATTTGCCAACAGAAAAATTGCGCGAGTACATTTTCTAGGCTGAGAATCTTACTCGCGACGATTTATAGAAGATTCGATAGTCAAGGCCCCTGTCGACTTTCTTTAGTCAAAAGAGCGAATTACGTCTGTTCCTACTTTGCATCGATACAATCGTCGATGGAATATTCCCTCTAGCGATACAGCAATAATTCTGTCGCGCATTGCTCAACAAATTACGAACGAATATTCGTATCAGTTGGCTAGATGCAATTGCATGAGTAGTTTAACGAGGATGTACAGTAATAATTAAAGAAAAGAATCTTGAAAAATACTCGAATCGCTGCATCAATGCGATAATCTCTTAGAAATTATTCCGTCTTTACAAATTTATCTAAATTTGTAGAAATCCTTAGATTTTCGTCCTTTTTAGCCCCTTCAGTCGAAATTTCCTATCGATACTAATACACGGACTGCGGATTTTTACGCGTTCATGCGAAATTTAAAAAAAGAGAAATTTACTTTGGAATCTACTTGAAAGAAAATTGATTTAATTTCAAAAAATTATTCTTGTATTTGAACTTGAGAATGCTCTACGCATGTCATATTGTTTAAGACGTTGTGAAATTCTTTTAGTACTGATTAAATCAAATAAAGAAATTCTATAAGCGTGCGAACTATTCTTTTAATTCATGAAATATCTATAAATTTTCGTAAACGTTCGCAGTCTGCAAATAAATGTATAAATAGAATCCATATATACATATATTATAAATATATCTATTTTTACATGTAAACTTATCCCGCTGCAGTTTCTAGCAATTTCTTTTTTTTTTTTTTTTAGATAGATTAATCGTGAACCGATAAGTGTGTAGAAGGTTTTCGAAACGTGTGTACTCGAAGGTTTCTGTAAATATCCTGTGTCCCTTTGTAGAATAACACGTTGTCGATGTAAGAAGTCCTGTACTGTGTTAATAATAATTGTACACTACGTGCAATCACTTTTTCGTCCATCTGCACGATTATTTCATTTCCCTTTATTTATTTTTATCGATTTAGAATGTCTTAATTAATTTTTCTCTCTCCACTTTGATATTTTTCGTATCGAAGGATTACTCTTAATAAAAACGAAAGTCTCTCCTTCGATAAATATTCATCGCAGCACTAATCTTTGTTCTTAAATATTTCGATCGTCGAATGAAGGAGGAGCTAGCTGGAAATAATTAAATTCGTTGAAATGTATAATTTTCGTATAGGTAATTTTAACGATTGTAAATATATTCATTTTTCAAGCCACGGTATCGCAATGTTATTGTAGTCAAAAGTAATAAAACACGTGAGAAATTAAATTTTATTTATTTCTCATTGATAAACGTCCTCTCCGACATTTTTGAATCCATTAAAATACATTTAACAGTGCATGCGAGATCTTATATCTATTGTGATAAATACATATTAATATTTCTTTAATATGATGTGCAAATTTTTCCAAAAATATTTGCTCTAATCAATAACTCATAGATAATCACATTCTCTTCCTAATAAATAAGTAATGCAAATACATGAATAAATTCTAATAAATTTATACTAAATAATAATACTATAAACATTAATTACAACTAAACTAAAACATACAAATTATTCATTCCGGAGCATAACTTTATTAAATGGTCACGCCGTAGTAAACACGTACGTACGCAAGCGTAGCGTGTGTAGCTTCTGATTGGTCGAGCGTAAACCATTGAAACTTTTCCCGCTTTAATTGACCAGTTCACAGTCAGCTGTGCACGTTTCGAATCAAAAGAAAGAGAGGAAGTTTCGTTGCATATTGTAAGCATTTTTCACGTTATGGTGAGAATATCACTTAATTATCGACGCGTTTAGTGCTTCGATATGATTAAGGGAACGTCTGGTATAATTCTACGACACTTTACGAAAGTATTTCTTCTGCCAGGCAACCTAACCTATACGCGAGCAAAGTCACGGACATTCGTAACGATGACAGAAAACATCAAAATTGGAACGCACGACGGTTGCTTCCATTGTGACGAAGCGCTTGCTTGTTTCCTGTTGAAAGTGCTACCCAGATATAAAGATGCGGTTATAGTAAGGTAAGGTATTTACGTTGTGTAGTGTGGCCAAGCTTTCTCACAGCAAGAGGTTAGAATGTTGAATGTACTTGTAGATCACGCGATATGGATATTCTAAATACATGCGATATTGTGGTTGACGTTGGTAACAAGTATGATCCTTCCAAGCATCGTTACGATCATCATATGAGGTAAAGTTAGTTTTCAAGTAGTATCGTTAGGTAGCCAGTAGGATAAGCTACATTTGCTTTTGGTTTCTGAATCAGTGATTTCAATGAATCAATGAGCACGGTAATGAAGAAGCCAGGTTATGAGTCAACGATGAAACTGAGTAGTGCTGGTTTGATTTATTGTCATTTCGGTCATGAAATTATCAAGCTGTTGCATCCAGAAGCAAGCGATAGCGACGTAGAGATCATTTTCAAATATATTTATAATACGCTTATTCAAGAGATTGATGGTATAGATAATGGAATTCCCATGTTCAGTGAGGAGCCTCTGTAAGTGTCTAATGTTACTATTATCTGATCAAGACATCAGATTCAATCTTCACAATGTGTATAACTCATTTTAGATATCGTATTGTGACACATTTGTCTTCTCGGGTTTCATTCTTGAATCCTGCGTGGAACAGCAAGGATGTTGATCCTAATAAGCAGTTTTTGAAAGCAGTTGAGCTAACTGGCAAAGAATTTGTACAGCATGTAAATTATGCAGCAAACATTTGGTTGCCAGCCAGGTCTATTGTTCAAGAAGCTATTGAGAAACGGTTCGAGGTGAATAGAACAAGGTGTCAGCCATCTTTGCAATTAATGATGGCACTGCCATGGACATTGTATCTTTGTTGTCAGTCATTGAAGCGACATTTACATAGATTTGAATAGAATAACATACAGTTTGAATAGAGTTCGAAGCATTAGAATGCATGGCTATTGTCAGTTGTATAAAAATGTATCACAAGCATTTTCTCGGTGCAGTGTTATGCAAGAGCAGATTTCTTTCTCCTTCGTATGCAAGAATAGCTTTATCTGCTAAAGAGTATTTGAGAAAAAGCTGTGACGAATATTTGCAGGTGGACCCGAGCGGGGAGATTGTAGTGTTATCGCAAAGTGTACCATGGTCTCAGCATCTTTTCGAACTAGAAAAAGAACAGAATATACAGCCTTCATTAAAGTACATCATTTTTGGGGATGGCAGTTTTAGGATTCGATCCATACCTGTAGATAATGGAAGTTTTGTATGCAGGTATTTACACGGAATTACGTAACCGAATTACTCTTAGAGCTGTTAAAGGACGAAGGAGCTCTTGTGGTTTTCTAGACTGTTCTTGCCACGATCTTGGGCAGGTTTAAGCGGCGAGGTGCTTGAAAACGCCTGTGGAGTCAAGGGTGCTGTTTTCGTGCATTCAACTGGATTCATCGGTGGACATAAAACCAAAGAAGGGGCGATAATGATGGCACGCAAGTCTCTTGAGCTAGGAAAACTGAGTTAAGAGCAGTTACACTCTAGGAATTTAATTGATCAATTTAACAAATTCACACGATGTCCTTTGTACTTAAAAGATAGATAATCATGGATAAAAAGAAGTAATGATTTGTGGAAGAGAAAGTTATTTATTATTCAAATCACTTCATATAAAAATGGCACGATATTTTTACTACCTTGTAACATTTAATTCCAATTGCATTAGCGATAAAGAAGAAACATGCAGATTGTTTCTCACGATTAATTGTTCGTCTCATGTTTTAGTGGACCAAGAATAAATTGACAAACATTTATTTTAGGCTTGTACGATTGTTCCCTTTTCATTCGTAATCAGATTTTTCAGCAGTTCTCGCGGCTGCTTCAGCGTGCGCTGCAAAATGAGCTGCCTTCGCCTGTACTACTTCCGGGGTGTCCACTACTCTACCATCAGGGCCAAGGGGTGCACCATATCCAAATCCATAAGTGTAAGGTACCGAGACATAGGATAGAGCACCGTACGGTTCGAGTCCTAGATGCTTTGCAGCCTCCTTCAACATAGAAGATATCGATAAATACATTCTCTAATCTAAAGTGAGAAGAACAATTCGACGTACTTAGAATATTTTTTTCAAAAAAATAGTGCAGAAATTTAATCAAAAATTCGTTTGTAGAAATAAAATGTTCCCAAAGGAAGAACTTATTTTTATATTGTTCAACTATCTTTGATAATTTACGCGTCGGAAATTCCCAAGTTGAACTCCTAAGTTTCCAAAACGAATCCTCAAATTTTCTCAAAACTTCCTCCGTTGTTTCGAGTCACTAATCACTGTTAATTACCAGCGCGTGGGCGGTCAGGTGTGCAGCTTTCGCCTGTGCGACTTCCGGTGTATCGACGACGCGACCATCGGCACCAATCGGTGCACCAGATGCAGACGCGTAAACACGAAGCACAGTTGGCACATGAGCGACACCAATCGTGTTCCTGGCTGCCTCGTACGCCTGAGTGGCAAGATGCGCAGCTTTCGCCTGTGCCACTTCCGGCGTCTCCAAAACTTTGCCGTCGTAGATCAACGGCACTCTTAGATAACCATAAGGCAGCACTGAGGCCACGTATCCTGGCTCGGCGACTGTCAAGCCGCAGATTGTAGCCAAGATGATCTGTAATTTGCGTTTGTTAATTGGTACGTTCGTTATTTTGTTAATTATCCCTTATCTAGAACCCTTTATGATAAAATCAACAAATTAACAGTGGCAAGTAATAATCTCAGTTTAAAGAAGATTTGTTGAAACGACTTCACAAAGTGCGTGTTTGGTAGAATCGTGGTTGGAATAATAAAGAATATTTCTTGAATAAAATTGACTTGAAATTAGCAAAAAGTAGAACAGCAGGTGATTTCTAAGCGTGTAAAGTGTAATGAAATCAATTAAATTGAAAAATGAAAGGAGTATGATTAGAGACAGAGTTTATGTAATTATTGGAGATCGTTAGTGATTGAAGAGTTTAAATGCAGTAAAAATAATTAGATCAGAGGCGTGATGGATAAGTGTGATGAAACGTGCCAAGGATGCTTTTTTTCACGATGGAGGTGGAATCATTTGTATGAAAAAGTTTCTGCAAGAAACTGTGGGATGTTAGCGTGTCAATGACGAGGAAACCTCGGGGAAACTCGGTTAAGTATTAATAAGTAACGATTGCAGATTCTTTTCCCTCGATAAAACGGCAATTGAATTTTAATATCTCTTTATTAACTTTGTATTATATAATTGATATCTTTATTTTTCCTAATAATTTTGTGGTAACAATTTAATTTTTCTGCTTGACGAATCGTAAGCTAACTTCGAAACAAAATTCTCAATTTATCATTTTAATAAACAAGACGTAATGTACATTGATATTCAACTGACAGTTTCCAAACTTCAAACAAAATTTCCCAGTTATTCCACGGCCCAACTCACTTGATTCACTCACTTTTGAACATTTGACGAATCTTATCCACTCCATTGATTGAGAAATGGAATTTTCCAATATTATAATACAGATTCATCGGAAATAATTTGCAAATAAAGTATCGATGCGAGCAATTTGGCGGCATAAATTAATCAGAAAGTGAACGCAACGTCCCCCATTGAATTAGAAAATTATAAACCACCCCCCCCCCCCCCCCGTCAAACACATGTTTTCCCAGTCACAAACATACAGAATCCCATGGTCACTCATTACAGATACTCACTATCGTTTTCATGGTTAATCACGCGGGGGGGAAAATGCGCTGCTGGCCGGTTGAACGTGAATTTTCCAACCAGTATTCGCCCTAAAGTACCGACGGTGATGTGCTGCCCTGTCCAGCCACGGTGCCCCCTTTTATATAGGTGAATCTGGTAGGGAGTCGTCGACCCGTAGGAGGGGACCACACCCTGGGAAACAAGTGGTGACATTGACATTAATCTCTGATCTGCTCGTCTTTCAAAAGGATCTCTCGAGGTCAGGTGTAACAGGTGAACCTGCTCCTTGCAGTTCGACAAAAATTGCCAACCATTCTCTTCTCTCGTAAGTTATTATACGTTCGTGGACCCTAAGAGATTGACGTATCCGGCGATATAGTGATATTCTTTTTTTTTTTTTTTTTTTTTTTTTTGGACAGCGAATATTCTTGCTAATTCTTACGTTCAGTATTTGTTAATTTTTTTCATCGTTTTCTATTTCGAATTTCATGGTGAATCCGATGATGGTTAAGTCTTGGTTATTAAAATATAATAAACTGGGAATGTTAAATTGAGATTGTATGAATAGTTTGATTAAGAAAGTGATAGATTTTCTTTCAATTAGCTTTTTCATTTTTTCATTTATATTTTATTTTCTGTTATTTCAATTGCCTTTGAAATTAGAAAGCTGGAGCTTGCAAATTTTGCTTGTTGAAATAATGAATTTCGTTTCGATTAGGTTTCCATTTATATTTTATTTTGTGCTGTTTTAATTGTCTCTAAAGAGCTTGAGTGAAAAATTTCATTTATCAAATATTCTGTAGTATAGAGTAGTTGTTTACGCAACCATAATTATACGTTGTTATTTTTATATAACGGAGGCATGATTTTACGCCATGATTGTTGGTAATTTTACGTTCTTTTTTTTTTCGTTCTTGCCACTGCACTTTTTCAACTGCTTAATTAGTTTTATCAATTTAAAACATCAATTTTTTATCAATTTAAACCATGAATTGACATATAGACCGAGATTTTTAATATGAAAATTCTTTTAATCTGTATCAGTTATCGAATACACAAGTCCAGAACAAGCACTATTAATAAAATTGCAAAACCAGTGATTTAAGAGATTATTGAGATCATATGGGCGCATGAGAATAATTTGGCGTTGTATTAAAAAAAAAAAAAAAAAAAAAAAAAAAGAACTGATTGACATTTTACAACACTCCGAGATTGAAAGCCAGAGAAATTAAAAGCTTTGAAATTCAATTTTACACGCTAGATCCAAATTGTTACTTAAACAAACGACAAATTTATTCAATGCTCGACGATTCTATACGAATACATTTCCCAGTTAAAATTGTAACTAACTTCTTCGTTAGTTTCATGAGATACAACGTTCCTCACGAAGTCGGTATTCCAAAATAAATCAATCAATCAATCATTCCCCTTATACCGTCCGTATAACAGCGCGAAATCTGATGTCATTTAGCCGACGGAAAAATATAATACAAATCATGGAAGATAACCCGAGCAAAGAGAATCGGTAATCAATTATTCCGAGAATCGAGAGTACGGCCTCGACGCGCTCTGAGATGCGGATTCAGGGAAAGAACAGGGACGAAATGCAGTTAAATGTGAAGAATAAAAGGATAAAAACAGAGAAAGAGAGCAGTAGGAGAGGAAGTTAATACGTCAATTGATGCGAAGGTCGGCCAGCATCCTTGCCCAGCGACCAATCGTATACCAATGTGATTGAAATGAAACGTTTCTTACGCGGTTTGCCAATAAAAATAAGAGGAACGTGGAGGGAAGAAAAGACACGTAGGATTCTGTTTCAGCATCGAAGCTTTCGTTGCTGCATCTTTTCCAGTGATTCTCGGCTCGATGGAGTTAATGAAAATTTGCAAGAAATCGTGACACGTCAGTTGTTGAGACTGTTATTATCGAATTTTGAAGAGATGCATTTAATTGGATTAATTGGTTTTAAATTTAACTGAAAGTAAAATTTCTAAGAATCGTGTTTTTACGTAAACCAGCTTGCGATCGATCTCGCCGGAAAGACACCGAAAACAAGCAAAATATTATAATACGACGATTGCGCTGTTCGCGTGAAATTCGTCGTCGAACAATTCCAATGCTTTGCATAACGGAGATTTTTCACCGCGTACGGTCACGCTTGCACGCTCTCGATCACGTATGCAGGTTTTTCCGATCGAATTTTTCTGATATTTTGAGCCCTCCAACTATCTGCCCGTTTTTGTAACATTTTATTTCGAGATTGTTTCAAACAGAAAGAAATTTAAAACTTTTTTTTTTGCCGTAGATAAAAACAATGTTTTACACACGTGTCTTTTTAAATAATCGGACCAAGTTTAATCTTTTGCATCACACCAATTATTCGAAATTTATTTTCCTGTAGAATTTCCTTTGCAAGATACTTTTATAGAAAGTTACAAAATCCCATGACAACAATTAACATTTTCTATAACGAAGACTCGATTTCAAGTTTCGCAATGAGAACATTTTCAGAAATTAGAAATTCATAGTATTCTCACGAAATTTTTACAAATTCATTAAAAAAAAAAAAAAAAACTCCAGGAAATATCCATCACTGTTCTCTATCCACGAAGACAAGGTACAAAATCTCGCAGTGAATCCTGAACCCTATTCCAAGTAGATTAGAAATCCGAGAAATGTTCCAAATAATCACCGCACTGTTTCTCACTCGATTAATGCCTGGCAGATATTTCTAGAACGTATTTTCACTGTACGATACTGTTCTCCGCGGAGGGAAGACGCGGCGTGCGTTGGAAAAAAATGCGAGGTGGAATCGCGTAGATCTCGCGGCGTGTCACGTGGGTGTGGCAGTAAACGCTCAGACCAACGCTCGATACGTCGAACAAAAGCTCCTTCCACAAGATTCCAGGGGAATCTTGTCACGCGGCAATGCTGTGTTCTCAAACCGCGTTAACCGCGTCTGATGGCCTCGCTAAACGACGCCGTCGCATCTTCGCGGTGCCATTAATTGTTGTGTAGGTGGTGGCGCTCGTTTCAGCCGGCCGAAACGGGCAGGAACAGCGCGCAAACGTAATAACAATACACGTTATGCAAATATCGCGGCAACATTTCTGCCGTTTATCACTTGCCGGAGAGAAATTGGTGGACAAGCGACGAGAGAAAAATAAAGGAAGCTACGGTGCTTTGAAATTGTAATTATAACGCCGATCCAGTCAAACTTATTCCGAGTTTAATTAACAGGAATAATAATTGGTGATAATTTCATCGGACACTCTGAATTCGCCATTAAACGAGGAGAATAAATGGCGAAAGGATTGATTTATTTCGCGTGGAACGCGACTTCCTCATCCAGGATTATTCTCGAACGACTATGGGGACGATTAGGCGTGTCACTAACCCGGTACACATTTGCTGTGGACGAGGCCAGGGACGGTTGTCGACAGGGAATGCCTGTTGCACACGTATCGAGGCATCGACATTCACTCCGTTATTTACGCTGCTCTGCCTACCAGTAGCGGATCTCGTCAAACACACATCTGCACCTTTCTTTCTTTTATCCGCCCTGCGACGCTGGACTTTCAAGAAGAAATTCTATTTAGCATGGTGATGACGTTTTTTGTCACGTTTATGTAACCACCCAGCTGAGGAATTTGAGAGAAGGTTTCTGACGATGATAAAAAGCGGACAGTAGTTTCGTAGTGTTGCGCTGGAATGTTCAACACCCAAGTATTCTTTTTCAATTGGAGACTTATGAATATCTCGCAGAAAATTACTCGACGTTACGAGGAATTTTTCTGTCCAATCACTTTTGCCAATACTCTCAATTGTCAATTACAAATGTCGGAATCGATGAATACATAGACTGTTGGTGTTAATATTTGATGACAAACAAGTGGAATGTTTAATACATTTTATTGAATTAGCTTCGTCGTTTTCGAGGATTTGAAATTTTGATTCATTTCGAGTGAAAGGAACTGTTACAAAATTTCTTGCCAATGTAATATTCATTAATTAAGATTTTGTCAGAACATTTGTACACAATCAGCAGTATGATTTTCGTCAACATTGATCGATTCGTCGATTGAATTATAATGGAGCTTTGGAAGACAGAGATAATTTCTTCCCCTGGTGATTCATCGATCCTTGTCACAATGGTTCGTCGTATCGCTGTACACCATTGATGGAATATAATAATACTGTGATTACAGTGATTGATAGGTTTAGATAGGGCTGTTAGGATAATCCTAATGTGCTAAGTGGGGAATGTCTGCTGCTAGATAGAATAATCTCGTCAAAGCCGGACTTTAGCCTAATCTCTCTCGTGTGTTCTTGACTTACAGATGCGACAAAGATGATCGAATTATTCTCCGAAATTTTCTTTTCTCGAGACTTTTTAAAATTGCAATTTTGTTGCTGCTGTTATTTCTCTAATTGCATTATTTGGATTGGCCTGTTAATCGATGATTCTTCACTTGAGTCATTTCTGTTGCAATTGTATCAATGTTGCTAAAATTATCACGATCGGCAGAATCAATCATCGATTTTCAAAATTTCAATTTCGATCTTCGAAACGAAGCGTCAAGCGTTTCGAAAATTAGAAACAGTTCTCGATTCCCTTCTTGCTCTCTGTTATTGACATTGACGTTAGATCATTAATATTGCGTTAATCACGGTTGCGTACCAAGCATCGATTACCCAAGCAGGTTGGAAAATCCCTTCGTCATGGTTCCTCGGATTCTTTCGTCTGCCGGCAATCGTGCGTGAAATACCTGGTTCAGAATAACTCAACGAATCAAAATTACTCAACGAATAATATCGCCGCGGTTGTCTCAACGAATGATTGCCACCGTTTGCGACAATTTTCGTTTTTACGACGCACGATCCCATCGTTCGCGTTAACATGAATATCAATTTTGGAAAAATTAACATTAACGTCTGGAAATCCGATCTAACGTCTCTCTGCAAAAGACGAATAAATAAATTAAAAAAAAAAAAAAAAAGAGCGCGAAACGTCAAACTCGAAAGAGAAAATATGCCTTGCAGTCTCCTCTGGAAAATTCTCCAGGCGGTAATTAATAATAATTACTCCGAGAGGAAATGGTTTGTTATTTGTCCATCGAATTGCACACTCGTCCGATGACTTGCGCCATTTTCATTGGCAGAAGGCGTATACGAATAATCAGTGGAAAATGATTCCGTCGTAATGAACTTGTCCCAATTAGGACGTGGACGCTCGTTAGAAATGATTGTTCGAGCACCGGGCGTCATTGTTCCACGTTTCGCAAAGTGTAATTGCCCGGCGGCTTATTAAGGACTCAGGCGCAGCGATACGTGATGGAATTCACGCGGAATCTCGCGTCGGACGTCACCGTTTCGATTCGTCATTGATCGTACGAAAGATCAGAGAACAGAGAACAGAGAAAAAAAAAAGGAAACCCAATGCGAAGTTTCCATTCAGCTCGAGCCAACGAAAAAAATCCTCGACAAACCAACCGTGACCAATTTATTGAAAATGCAAGCCAAACCAGCAGACCGATGCCGTGACAAAAGTAAAAGTAAAATTTTCATTCTACCGCGTTCTTGAGAAATGCAAAATTCACTTAAATTTACACTGCCGCGAGCGATCGGCGAGAGATCCCTCGGCTGAAGAGATTGACGCAACTCGGGCCTATCGAGTTCCATTCTTCTTTTCATCCGCTTCTTACCGATTTCTTCTCCCGATCACGATATCGAGATCGCCGTCGATCGAGCGTTGCCAAACAGAAATGTCTCACTCTCCCCACCCGGTATTATGTGAAAATCAAGCGGAACGCGTGCATGCGCGCGCGCGAATAATTCACGTACACGCGGCGTGTCCGCTTGTTCGAGGTGGCTGTAAAGTGGGCGCCTGTATTGTTCCACGGCTATATAAGGTGTACCACCGAGCGGTCCGGCCAGCAGAAAAGCATCAGGTCGTGGATCATGGCTAGCACGAGGCTCCTCGTGAGTAATAACGACCATAAAAATCACTTGCACGTTTCGTAGAGTTTTCGTAGAGCGATGCATGATCGATTGTCATGGGTAGACTATGGCGCACTGTTTCATGCGATCAGCTGCCAGCCGAAAGTTTGGAAAGAATATTTGCATTTACGATCGAACGTTGGAAATTATCACGGTGTCTCTGAACTCTTTCTCTTTTCGAGTCGGCGAAATATATGCGCTGGTTGCAAGTCTTGAACTTTCTGGCTGGCAGCGTACGATAATATAAATTGATAAAAATTTACAGTAATATCCTTAGTAATCTCGTTTCGCACTTGGAAATGTGACGAGTACAGTTTGGTTGAGATTTTTCAGTGCAGAGTCTGTGTAATTTTTAAGTGGAAGGAGAATTTGCAAAGTGCTTTTTAGTTTTTGAGCTAAACTAAAACAGTAAAATACTGGAAATACTTCTTTCTCTTCTCAAATTTCAATTTTCTTTCCTGTTAGATAACTATCGTTCACAGTCGTGGCTTAAACATCGAGCTACACACGTATTTCTGGATCAGGTGTCCAAGATTGAAATAAAATTTGTAACTTGAAATGCTTCGAGTGCGCCGTTGAAACGAAATGACAATTTAAAGCTGAATTGTTTCGATCGAATTTCACTGAAAGAACGCAAGAATATAAAGTAAAATGAAATATCCCGAATCGACGAAACATTTATCTAAACAATTTGTTTTTCATTTCAGCTTCCTTTCGCGTGTCTCATCCTCTCGGCATCCGCCCTGCCAGGCTACGAAGTCTATGGAGCGGCGTACCACGGTCCACCAGCGCCCCTGGCTCACGACGGAAGGGTGATCGACACGCCGGAAGTGGCGCACGCCAAAGCAGCACACTTGGCAGCTCACGCGGCTGAAGCAGCCAAAGCGACACCATACGGTTATGGCGATTATTCCGACGTAGGGAAGTACGAGGATTATAGCGGCTCGTACGTAGCCACGGCTCACAATCTCTATCACGGACCGCCTGCACCCTTGGCCCACGACGGAAGAGTGCTCGAGACACCGGAAGTGGCGCACGCCAAGGCTGCACACTTGGCAGCCCACGCCGAGCAGATTTCGAAACTGGCTCAGGTTGCATACGCCGATCCTTACCCGCAACCCCATTGGTGAAGATACCGCGATTTTGACGAGTAGATTGTGGATGTTTGTGCATTTTTTTTTTTTTCCTATTTTTCGAAGAACGTGGAAATTCACCACGAGCAATATGAGAAATTCAGTACTCTGTTCAGTGCTAGTGAATAGTAGAAATTTCTATTTCGTTTTTTCTAATTGTCTATAGAAAAGTAGAAGTAACAGAGGAATGCATAAATATTCGCCATCCACCGCGACGACGGAGTAGATCGAGAATTTTGGAAATGTAGGGAACGTGTTTGGACGAGGGGACGTTGATTATCGAAATTTTTGGAAAGACGGGGGGAAAGCACGGGGAGATCTAGAGCTCGAACTGGACAATGAGCTTCGTTTTCCGGTTCTGTGGTCGATGCACGCGTTTCGAGATTTGCATTTCGTTCTGTGGAATTGTTCAGCTTAATTTTGGGAATTTCGCGGAGGAGTTGTGCACAATGTAACGGAAGGGAGGGTAGGCAGAATGTTTTTTTTTTTATTTCTGTTAACGTTGGTTAAGTATTTTGATTAAAGTGCTTGCAAGTATTTTTGTTCCTCCTTGATTTTTATTCGATCCCTTCTTCCTTCTGTACCTCGATGTGCTGTCAAATTTATAATTTACAATTTTCCATCCCCGAATTTCCTAAAACTGTACGGTTGATATATAAGTTTGTATGATAAAATAATGATTAAATATCACAGATACAATATCATTGAACAATTGGCCATCGTAATGTATTGTTTAAATTGAGCTGTTTAATTATAAATATCAAGTGTTTAAATTCTAGAAACGACAAAAGTTTCGTACCGTTACAAATCAACATCAAAGTAGATTATCAAGAATCCAGAAATTTATAGACAATATGTCGAAGGTGGGAAATATCTAGCGAGGTCACAAATAGATCTTTAAAGTGTCCATACTATTATAAATGAGATTTAAATCTATACGAGTCTGTATCAAGGATCAAGTCAGCTTCACTTAGAAAGTAAAATAGGCTTCGAAATAGATTAATAAAATCTTCGAATCTTTATAAATCCGGCCAGAGGATATTTCTGCGGATGTTTCTTTCGTGCATTTCAATTCACTTTCGAAACGAAGATATTTTGCAAATTACAAGATTACAAACCACCAGTGAAATAAAAGACAAGACTTCACTTTTTATCGCCATGAAAAAGAACGCGTTAGGAAATGTGTAAAAATTCAATTTACGATACGAACAAAAAAAAAAAGGACACTAAATTTGTCAATTAAATTGGACATTAAAAGTTCCGCGGCTCGTAATAATAGAACAATGAAAACAGATGGAAAAACCGTCTCCGCTCAGGTTTCACTTCTTTGGTAACTGTTAGAAAAAGAAGTGCGCAAATATCCGCAATCTTTCTGCTGGCCATTTCTAAACTCATTTCCAAATGCATAATAAGCTCCGGAGAGCTGGTTTTACTGAGAAACACGGCGGACACAATGCTGCACGTTCCGACCACGTCTTGTCTCTCGTTATCAAAGCGTTGGCGACAAGCCGATACGTCGGGCGCAGGTCAGCACGCGAACAATGCGCGCCACACGCTGGTCTTTGAACCGGCACCAACTGTCGCAACGCCCTTCGTTCGTTTCATTTCAAAAGAAAGGAAGAAAGAAGGAAAGAAAGAAATCTCGAGCGTGCCGGAGCTCGTAGACCGAGGCGGCTGGAACACGGAATGGGCGACGATCGATGGAATTCGTCCACTTGCTGTAGGCACCGATGAAATATCGCTCGCGGACGATATGCAACGCGGTGAAATGCCTCTGAAACACGTTGTCGCCACGTGTTGCCTTACCAATGCTAACTGCACGCCTTCTTGCAATTACTCTTTGTCACGTTTCGTGGGAGTTGGGACAGGAATACTCGACAGATCACGGGACAAGTACTTTCCTCCGTTGATTTACAACCTTCTGTCTCATTTACTTGTTGCAACATTTGATAGCATTTGTCAATTCGTAGGTGGAAGAAGGAAGTTGAACAACATTTGAAAGATGTTTAGTAACCTAATCTAGGACGATTAGTTACGGATATTTACGATCCGATAGCAATTAAACTTTAATTTCATGTAATGTGGTAGTTGAATTTTTTTTTGTGTAATAAATATTTAAATTTTACCGTCACTTTATTCGATTTTGAATTATACGAAATAATTCTAAAGTAATTACGAGCCACATGATATATAACAATGATGTATTATAAACTTTATAATATAAATTTATAATATAAATAAACTTTATAATATAAGTGGTATAATATATATAATATAAATAAATAAACTTTATAATATAAATGGTATAACAATAATATATAATAGGACGATTGTTACGGATATTTACGATCCGATAGCAATTAAACTTTATTTTCATGTAATGTAGTAGTTGAATTTTTTTTTGTGTAATAAATATTTAAATTTTACCGTCACTTTATTCGATTTTGAATTATACGAAATAATTCTAAAGTAATTACGAGCCACATGATATATAACAATGATGTATTATAAACTTTATAATATAAAT